GAAAAGAAAGGGAGGGAGGAAGGAAGGGAGGAAGGAAGGAAGGAAGGAGGAGTGGGAAAGGAAAGGAATAGAGCAGGAAGGGACCTTGGAGGTCTTCTAGTCCAGCCCCCTGTTCAAGCAGGAGGACCTATACCATTTCAGACAAGTGATTGTCCAGTCTCTTCTTAAAAACCTCCAGTGATGGAGCACCCACAACTTCTGGTGGCAAGCTGTTCCACTGGTTAATTGATCTCACTGTTAGGAACTTTCTCCTTAATTCCAGGTTGCTTCTCTCCTTGATCAGTTTCCAACCATTGTTTCTTGTCCTGCCTTCAGGTGCTTTGGAAAGGAAAGGAAGAAAGAGACGGAAGGAAGGAAGGAAGGAAGGAAGGAAGGAAGGAAGGGAGGGAGGGAGGGAGGGAGGGAGGGAGGAAGGAGAAAGGAAAGGAAAGGAAAGGAAAGGAAAGGAAAGGAAAGGAAAGGAAAGGAAAGGAAAGGAAAGGAAAGGAAAGGAAAGGAAAAGAAGATGCAAGGAAGGGAGGGCGGGAAGGGAAAGGAAAGGAAAGGGTTTCAATTTCCATTGCAGCAATTACAAAATTATCTTTTACTCAGTGATAAAAATGCATTTTGCCCGAGCTCTGATCTGGAAAATGCGGACAACTTTATGGAAACTTTCAACTGGCGCCATGACTTCACTCCTTGGCAGCTGATGCCATCACACGCTTGTGGCGAAGTAGAAATGAAAAATGGTCTGTGTGTGTGTGTGTGGGGTGTAATTTATATTGGGGCAGGGTGGGATGGGTCGTCTTGGAAGCCCACCGGCTTGGCATAGCTCAAAGACGGGACGGTCGGCGGGTCCCTTCTTCCAGGAAAAATAAAAAGCTGGTCTCCGGCGTGACCGCATGTTGTCAACCAGGATGCCTCCTAGGCTGACCAGGGTAGGAAGTGTCCTTCCAGGAAACAGTGGGGACCCAGGCAGGATTTATTCATTATCCTGGTTTGTTCCGAGGGTTTGGAGAAGCTGGCAAAAACTGGGGAAGGAAAATGATGTGGGAAGGAACAGAAACCAGATTAATCTAGGTCAGGGTTTCTCTACTTTGCTGACTTGAAGATGGTTTGTTCAGCTGCTTTGTTTTTTTCTTGACTCTTTCTTTTGTTTCTTCCTTCTTTCCTTTTTTATTTCCTTCCTTCCTTCCCTCCCTCCTTTCTTTCTTTCTTTCTTTCTTCCTTCCTTCTCTTCATCACTCTCTCCAGCCCTCCTTGTGTTCCTCCCTCCTTTCTCTCTTTCTTCCCTTTCTTTTTTCCTTCTCTTTTCTTCCTTCCTTCCTTCCTTCCTTCTCTTTATCACTCCCTCCATCCCTCCTTGCATTCCTCCCTCCCTCCTTTCTCTCTCTCTCTTTCTTTCCTTTCTTTTTTCCTTCCTTCTCTTTTCTTCCTTCCTTCCTTCTTTTCATCACTCTCTCCATCCCTCCTTGCATTCCTCCCTCCCTCCTTTCTCTCTCTCTCTTTCTTTCTTTCCTTTCTTTTTTTCTTCCTTTTCTTTTCTTCCTTCCTTCCTTCTCTTTATCACTCCCTCCATCCCTCCTTGCATTCCTCCTTCCCTCCTTTTTCTCTCTTCCTTCCTTCTCTTTTCTTCCTTCTCTTCATCACTCCCTCCATCCCTCCTTGTGTTCCTTCTTTCTCTCTCTTTCTTTCTTTCTTTTTTCTCTTTCTTTCCTTTCTTCTTTTTTCCTTCCTTCTCTTTTCTTCCTTCTCTTTTCTTCCTTCTCTTTATCACTCCCTCCATCCCTCCTTGCATTCCTGCCGACTTTCTCTCTCTCTCTTTCTTTCCTTTCTTTTTTCCTTCCTTCTTTTTTCTTCCTTCCTTCTCTTCATCACTCCCTCCATCCCTCCTTGCATTCCTCCCTCCCTCGTTTCTCTCTCTCTCTCTTTCTTTCCTTTCTTTTTTCCTTCCTTCTCTTTTCTTCCTTCTCTTCATCACTCCCTCCATCCCTCCTTGCATTCCTCCCTCCTCTCTCTCTCTCTCTCTCTCTCTCTTTCTTTCTTTCTCTCTCTCTCTCTCTCTCTTTCTGATTTAGGTCCTATATTTTTTTGTCCCGCTCCTGCTTTAATGCACACATCAGTTTGAACAAAGCTTCCTCATTGCATCCAAATCCTGTTCAGCCTTCCAGTTGTAGCTGGGACTGGGAGAAATGTAATTTCCCAAAAATGTTGAGGAAAAGCATTCTCTTCCTAGGGTTTGATTTCCTCATGCGTGCTTCAGGATCTGATTAGTTTTATTGGGATGTTGTTGCAGATGGAGGTGGGGGTCCACAATGCTCCTCCCTGCAGGATTCTCTCCTAAGCCCAGCTGCTGGTTTCAGCTGGTTCAGGAAGGGCTGGTTACCATTTTTCCATTCAGTTCCATGGCCAAAAAGTTCTGGGGATTTCCCCCCCCCCCATGAATCTTAAATGCCTCTTTTCATATTCTGCAAGCTGTTGTAGGTAGTCCTCAATTAAGAAGCAACGGATGGAAACTAACCAAGGAGAGAAGCAACCTGGAACTAAAGAGAAACTTCCTGACAGTGAGGACAATTAACCAGTGGAACAGCTTGCCACCAGAAGTGGTGGGTGCTTCATCACTGAAGGCTTTTAAGAAGAGACTGGACAGCCATTTGTCTTAAATGGTATAGGGCTTCCTGCTTGAGCAGGGGGTTGGACTAGATGGCCTCCAAGGTCCCTTTCAGCTCTATTCTATTCTATTCCATTCCATTCCATATTCTATTCCTTTTCTCTATTGTATTGTATTCTATTCTATTCTATTCATATTTTTCAACGCTGTTGTAACTTCAAACAGTTGCTAGATTAATGGATGTAATAATAATAATAGTAGTAGTAGTAGTAGTAGTAGTAGTAGTAGTAGTAGTAGTAGTAAAGTTGGAAAGGACCTTGGAGGTCATCTAGTCCAACCCCGTGCTCAGGCAGGAAACCCTATACCATTTTGGACAAATGGCTGTCCAGTCTCTTCTTAAAAACCTCCAGTGTTGGAGCATTCAGCGCTTCTGGAGGCAGGTGGTTCCACTGTGAATTGTCCTCACTGTCAGGAAGTTTCTCCTTAGTTCTAGGTTGCTTCTCTCCTTGATGAGTTTCCACCCGTTGCTTCTTGTCCTGCCTTCAGGCGCCTTGGAAAATAGCTTGACTCCCTCTTCTTTGGGGCAGCCCCTGAGAGATTGGAACATATTGGACTTACACACACACACACACACACGCCCGCCGTTCCTTTAGCCACCATTCCAAGCTACAACACCACTGGGGGGGGAAAAAAAACGTGACTTACGGCTGGTTAAGTGAGTCACTTAACAACCGGAGTGGTTCACTTTGCCAAAAAAAAAAAAGTGGCAAAATCGGGAACAACTCGCCGGAAAACTGCCATGGAAATTCTGGTGGCCAATGTGGCTGGTGAGTTCATTTCCAATAAACGTGAAGCCTGCCTTAATAAGAGCTTTGAGAACGCCTGGAAATAGTTACGAAAAGCGGCAGTCAAGGGCCGTTTCAAGAGCGTTCCGATCTGTGTTGCTTTATAAATATGGGTTTAATCTTAGCAGCAAGTCTACTTTATTTCATTTTTATTTTTCACATTCCTTTCGAGTGGGCTTTTCCTTTCAAGCAGGGAAATGCTGACATTAAAAGATCAGTCCACAACAACAATAAAGTTGGATGGGACCTTGGAGGTCATCTAGTCCAACCCCCTGCTCAGGCAGGAAACCCTAGACCACTTCAGACAAAGGGCTGTCCAGTCCCGTCTTAAAAACTTCCAGCGTTGGAGAAGGAAGGAAGGAAGGAAGGAAGGAAGGAAGGAAGGAAGGAAGGAAGGAAGGAAGGAAGGAAGGAAGGAAGGAGGGAAAAGAATAAAATAACAGACTCAGAAGGTACCTTGGAGGTCATCTAGTCCAACCCCATGTTCAGGCAGGAAACCCTATACCGTTTCAAACAGAAGGCTGTGCAGTCTCTTCTTTAAAACTTCCAGTGTTGGAGAAGGAAGGAAGGAAGGAAGGAAGGAAGGAAGGAAGGAAGGAAGGAAGGAAGGAAGGAAGGAAGGAAGGAAGGAAGGAAGGAAAAGAACAGAATAACAGACTCGGAAGGGACCTTGGAGGTCATCTAGTCCAACCCCCTGCTCAGGCAGGAAACCCTGTACCATTTCGGACAAAGGGCTGTCCAGTCTCTTCTTAAAAACTTCTAGTGTTGGAGCATTCACTGCTTCTGGAGGCAGGTGGTTCCACTGGTTAATTGTTCTAAATTTGTTTGAAATAGCATAAGGTCTCCTGCCTGAGCAAGGGGCTTGGAGACCTCCAAGTTCCCTACCAGCTCTGTTATTCCGTTATTCTGATCAGAGAAATGAGGGGAAACGTTGAATTCAAGGCCCTCAAAACAATAATGTGCATGCAAACTGAAATTACAAACTAAAATTTTTCTGGGTGAAGCTGCCACTGTGTTAAACAACAGTCAAGCTATCCTCCAAAGCGCCTGAAGGCAGGACAAGAAGCAACGGATGGAAACTAATCAAGGAGAGAAGCAACTTGGAATTAAGGAGAAACTTCCTGACAGTGAGAACAATTAACCAGTGGAACAACCTGCCTCCAGAAGTCGTGGGTGCTCCATCACTGGAGGTTGTTAAGAAGAGACTGGACAACTATTTGTCCGAAATGGTGTAGGGTTTCCTGCCTGAGCAGGGGGTTGGACTAGATGACCTCCAAGGTCCCTTCCAACTGTTATTCTGCTATTCTTTTTTCCTTCCTTCCTTCCTTCCTTCCTTCCTTCCTCCCTCCCTCCCTCCCTCCCTCCCTCCCTCCCTCCCTCCCTTGGAGTTTTCAAGAAGAGACTGGACAGCCATTTGTCTGAAATGATATAGGATCTCCAGCTTGAGCAGGGGGCTGGACTAGAAGACCTCCAAGGTCCCTTCCAGCTCTACTCTATTCTCTCCTCCTGTTACCTCTAGATTTAAGTGAATGGACATTTTTTCCTCCCCTTTGGACGTCCAACAGGTCGAGACTGAGGACCAGGTCTTGGCGACTTTCTGCGGAAAAGAGGACCGAGATCCAGAACAGACCCCCGAACGAGAGCCCATCACCTCTCCGGGGTCACATCTGAGCCTCACTTTCCGATCGGACTTCTCCAACGAGGAACACTTCACGGGCTTTGATGCCCATTACGCTGCCGTGGGTGAGTCTGGATAGCTCGGTTAGTAGCTCATTGGCCCGTCTGGGCGGGCTACAGGTCGACACTCGAACTCAGAACGAGGAGGAGAAAGTCACCTCAGTGCGAGAAAGAGTGGAACTCACATCCGAGTAGGTCCCCAAGTTATGACCGTAAGGGAGTCTATCCGTTATTTATTTATTTATTGGATTATTATTTGTTTTAATCCCATCTTTATTACTTAGTAGTTTATAGGTAACTCAAGAGGATGGACGTACATAATATTCCTTCCTCCTATTTTCCACACAACGACAACCCTGTGAGGTGGGCTGGGCTGAGAGAGAGGGACTGGCCCAAAGTCAACCTTGGCTCTTTTATGACTCGTGGACTTCAACTCCCAGAATTCCTGAGCCAGCCATGCTGAGGGGAAAGGGAGAGGTTTCCAAGTTGAGCCATGCTGGCTCAGGAATTCTGGGAGTTGAAATCCACGAGCAATGAGGGGGCCATAGTTCCCCCATGCTGGCTCAGGAATTCTGGGAGTTGAAGTCCACGAGTCATGAAGGCGCCATAGTTTCCCCCATGCTGGCTCAGGAATTCTGGGAGTTGAAGTCCGCGAGTCATGAAGGGGCCATAGTTCCCCCATGCTGGCTGATGCTGAATTCTGGGAGTTGAAGTCCACGAGTCATGTAGTTTCATGCTGGCTCAGGAATTCTGGGAGTTGAAGTCCGCGAATGGGGGCCATAGTTCCCCCATGCTGGCTGAGGAATTCTGGGAGTTGAAGTCCACAAGTCATAAAAGAGCCAAGGTTACCTACTCCTGACCTACACCATCTCAGACAAGTGTGAACGGCCAACAGGGATGGTTGATTGACGTGATCTTTCTGTCCCATTACAGATATCGATGAATGCTTGGAGAGCAGTGACGAAGAACTGGCTTGTGATCATCACTGCCACAACTACATCGGGGGCTATTACTGTTCGTGCCGTTTTGGGTACATTCTCCATTCGGACAATCGGACCTGCAAAGGTCAGCACCCTCCTGCCATCTTCAACCTGGTTTGCGATGGTTCCTCCTCCGGCTTTGGACCTCAGGGCCAATCCGCCCCCCTTTTCCCACCACCCCAAAACAGCAGGCACAATCAGGGTCCATGGGGTCTCCAGGAGGCAATATTAAACTGCAAAACTGGGTCAGGATTAAACTTGGATCGGTTTTCAGCGTGGGGCACCCAGCCTGAGACTTTTAGGTTACGGCCGAGATGAGGTTGAAATTCAGAAGATGGTTTGATTCTGCCTGCAGGTTCCAAAGTACTGCAAGTAGTCCTTGAGTTGCAAAAGTTCACTTAGTGACTGGTTTCCACACTTAATGACCACTGTGGTCACGTGATCAAAATTCGGTTGCTTGGTGATTGGTTCATATTTAGGACGGTCACCGCACCCCTGACGAGCAAAGTCAATGGGGGAAAGCCAGATCCACTTTACAGCCGTCTTCCTGATTTATCAACTGCTTGTTAAGTGATTCATTTAACGACCGTGGCAAGAAAGGTTGTGAAATGGGGTGAAAAAAATCACTTCATTTGCTTAGCAACAAAAAATTGGGGCTCGGTCATAAGTCAAGGGCTACCTGGACCAAGGGTAGGCAACCTGGGCTCTTTTATGACTCATCGACTTCAACTCCCAGAATTCCTGAGCCAGCCACGCTGAGGGCAAAGGGAGAGGTTTCCAAGCTGAGCCATGCTGGCTCAGGAATTCTGGGAATTGAAGTCCACGAGTCATGAAGGGTCCATAGTTCCCCCATGCTGGCTGAGGAATTCTGGGAATTGAAGTCTGCAAGTCATGAAGGGGCCATAGTTTCCCCACGCTGGCTCAGGAATTCTGGGAGTTAAAAGTGCACGAGTCATGAAGAGACCATAGTTCCCCCATGCTGGTTGAGGAATTCTGGGAGTTGAAGTCCGCAAGTCATGAAGGGGCCATAGTTCCCCCATGCTGGCTGAGGAATTCTGGGAATTGAAGTTCACCAGTCATGAAGGGGCCATAGTTCCCCCATGCTGGCTCAGGAATTCTGGGAGTTGAAGTCTGCAAGTCATGAAGGGGCCATAGTTCCCCCATGCTGGCTGAGGAATTCTGGGAGTTGAAGTCCGCAAGTCATGAGGGGCCATAGTTTCCCCACGCTGGCTGAGGAATTCTAAGTCCACGAGTCATGAAGGGGCCATAGTTCCCCCATGCTGGCTGAGGAATTCTGGGAATTGAAGTCCGCAAGTCATGAAGGGGCCATAGTTCCCCCACGCTGGCTGAGGAATTCTGGGAGTTGAAATCCATGAGTCATAAAAGAACAAGGTTGCCTACCCCTGACCTGGACCCTTGGAGCCACATCCATAGTAAATCAAGAGTATGATCCTTGCAGAAGAACAGGACTGGACGCGACCTTGGAGGTCCTCTAGTCCACCCCCCTGCCCTATTTGGACTACAGATCTATTCATACCGTCAGTCCGAAACTAACCAGCTTAATTGCATCTTCCTTTGACCCACCATTGTGTCTGTATCTGTTGCAGTGGAGTGCAGCAACAATCTTTTCACCCAGAGGAGTGGGGTGATCCACAGCCCCGATTTCCCCAACTCCTATCCTAAAAGCTCCGACTGCGTGTACCGCATCGAGCTGGAGGAAGGATTTTTCATTGCACTCCAGTTTGATGAGAGTTTTGACATCGAAGATCACCCGGAGGTCACCTGCCCCTATGATTACATCAAGGTCAGCACTTTTAATCCATCTCACCCATAATTGCGGGAGAGGAGAAAGCGTTGTTGTGTTGTGGGGTCCTGGGTGCTCCCTGAGCTGCGTGGTTTCCTTGCAGACGTTTCCTGACCCCACTAGGCAACGTCATCAGCGCTAGAAGGGAGGAGGAGGAGGAGGAGGAGGAGGAGACTGTGGGGCCCTTGGTGGTTTCCTTGCAGACGTTTCATGACCCCACTAGGGAACGTCATCAGTGTTAGAAGGGAGGAGGAAGAGGAGGAAGAGGAGGAGGAGGAGGAGACTGTGGGGCCCTTGGTGGTTTCTTTGCAAACGTTTCATGACCCCACCAGGGAACATCATCAGTGCTGGAAGGGAGAGGAGTTATATTGTATATAAACAGAGACCAAATCCCCTCTCCCTTCTAGCACTGATAACGTTACCTAGTTGGGTCATGAAACGTCTGCAAGAAAATCACCCAGCTCAGAGAGCACCAAAATGTGAAAAATGGTCACGTGTCACTTTTTTTTAGTGCTGTTGTAACTTTGAACGATCACTGAACAAATGGTTGTAAGTCAAGGATATTGATAATTGTCCTCACTGTCAGGAAGTTTCTCCTTAGTTCCAGGTTGCTTCTCTCCTTGCTTAGTTTCCACCCGTTGCTTCTTGTCCGACCTTCAGGTGCTTTGGAGAATAGCTTGACTCCCTCTTCTTTGGTGCAGCCCCTGAGATACTGGAAGACTGCTATCATGTCCCCCCTCGTCCTTCTCTTCACTAGAACATAGTATATAGAATTATAGAGCTGGAAGGGACCTTGAAGGTCTTCTAGTCCAACCCCCTGCTCAAGCAGGAGACCTAGACCATCCCAGATAAATGGCTGTCCGGTCTCTTCTTAAAGACCTCCAGTGTTGGCGCACGCATAACTTCTGGTGGCAAGCAGTTCCACTGATTAATTGTGCTCCCTGTCAGGAAAGTCCTCCTTAGCTCTAAGTTGTTTCTCTCCTTGATGAGTTTCCATCCGTTGCTTCTTGTCCTGCCTTCAGGGGCTTTGGAGAATAGCTTGACTCCCTCTTCTTTGGGGCAGCCCCTGAGATACTGGAAGGCTGCTATCCTGTCCCCCCTCATCCTTCTCTTCATTAAACTAGACATCCCCAATTCCAGCAACCGTTCCTTGTATGTTTTAGCCTCCAGCCCCCCGATCCTATTTGTTGCTCTCCTCTGCACTCTGCACACTCCCTGGGGACCTCACCTGGCCTTGTTCCATAAACCTTGGCTTTATCGCTTGACAGATCAAAGCTGGATCAAAAGAACTTGGGCCCTTTTGCGGAGAAAAGTCTCCAGGACGGATTGAAACTCGGAGCCACCAAGTTCAAATCCTGTTCCACAGCGATAATTCCGGAGAGAACGGAGGGTGGAAATTAACCTACACGACGACAGGTAATATATAACCATGGAGTCTAAAGGTTAGAAGGTGCCCTTGAGGTCATCTAGCCCAACGTTTTCCACCTTCAGCAACTTTAAAGAGGAGTAGACCGACCCCCTGAATTCCCAACCCGGCCAAACAATTGCCAATAATCTTTATTTTATTTAACCTGCCCTTATCATTTTTATAAATAACTCAAGGTATTTTCCTCCCAATGGCAAGCCACTGAGGTAGGTTGGGCTGAAAGAGAATGACTAGAACTCACCGTCTCCTGGTGATTGGCCCAAAGTCATCCAGCCAGCTGTCACACCTAAGGCGGGACTAGAACTTCCCGTCTCCTAGTGATTGGCCCAAAGTCACCCAACCAGCTGTCATGCCTAAGGCGGGACTAGAACTCCCCGTCTCCTGGTGATTGGCCCACAGTCACCCAGCCAGCTTTTGTATCTAAGGTGAAACTAGAACTCACCGTCTCCTGGTGATTAGTCCAAAGTCACCCAGCCAGCTGTTGTATCTAAGGTGGAACTAGAACTCACCGTCTCCTGGTGATTAGTCCAAAGTCACCCAGCCAGCTTTTGTATCTAAGGTGGAACTAGAACTCACCGTCTCCTGGTGATTAGTCCAAAGTCACCCAGCCAGCTTGGGACTAGAACTCCCCGTCTCCTGGTGATTGGCCCACAGTCACCCAGCCAGCTTTTGTATCTAAGGTGAAACTAGAACTCACCGTCTCCTGGTGATTAGTCCAAAGTCACCCAGCCAGCTGTTGTATCTAAGGTGGAACTAGAACTCACCGTCTCCTGGTGATTGGCTAAAATGACCCAGCTGGCTTTCATGCCTAAAGTAGGACTAGAACTCACCATCTCCTGGTGATTGGTCCACAGTCACCCAGCCAGCTTTTGTATCTAAGGTGCATCTAGAACTCACCGTCTCCTGGTGATTGGTCCACAGTCACCCAGCCAGCTTTTGTATCTAAGGTGGAACTAGAACTCACCGTCTCCTGGTGATCGGTCCACAGTCACCCAGCCAGCTTTTGTATCTAAGGTGGAACTAGAACTCACTGTCTCCTGGTGATTAGTCCATAGTCACCCAGCCAGCTTTTGTATCTAAAGTGAAACTAGAACTCACCGTCTCCTGGTGATTGGCCAAAATGACCCAGCTGGCTTTCCTGCCTAAAGTAGGACTAGAACTCACCATCTCCTGGTGATTGGTCCAAAGTCACCCAGCTGGCTTTCCTGGCTAAAATGGGACTTAAACTTGTCTTCTGCTTTCCCACATGGTATCTTAACCACTAGACTAGGCCGAACTCTCTCTCTTGCGTATTAATACCTTATTTTGGATAATATCACTCTCTTCCTTTTTAACCAGCTTTCCCACCCAGTGTACACCCGTTTCTTTGTGGAGGAAAGTATATTGCAAAATTGAGAAAGCCGCAGCTTCCAGAATGAAAAATTCTGTAAATTCAGAGCAGGCCAGAGAAACACACACGTCAACAAACACAAGGCTGTGAAAATTGCATTTTTCAAAAATTAGCATCGTACACCAAGCTGGATTTGGGGATGCAAAAGGAACCTCTGAGAAACTGCATAACTCTGGAGTTGTTTAATCTAAGACTGTATCTTTTTCTTTTTTCCTTATCGGCTCCTCTTAAACACAGGGGATCCGTGTCCACTTCTGGATCCTCCCATCCATGGGAAACTGGAACCGTCGCAAGCCACCTACACGTTCAAGGACCAAGTCGTGATCAGTTGCAATCCAGGATACAACATCGTGAAGGTAAGTAGGACCCTGGCAGAGAAATCAAAAGAAACAGAGTTTACTCAAGTTTGGGCATCACAGGCCACTGCCTGCCATACCGTTGAGCCTCCTTCGGCAGGAGCAGTCTATCTCCATGCTGCAGCTAACCTTGCACAGTCTGAAAAGAGGCAGACTTTCCCCCTGGGTCTAAACCACACTTGACCAAATAATAAGGTGACCAACTTTTTTATAATGAAAAGGAGGACACAAATAAATTGAAGAAAATAATATCTTAAGTAAAAGAAACATTTTATTCATTGCAACAATAATACAGACAACTTGCTTGTGCAAAGTTTGCCAGCTGGGTGTTTTGGGGCACTCAGCAGCAATTGGCTTTCGAAAGCCAATAGCGGGAGTAGCACAGCTCATGCAAAAGTTGAAAAAAAAAACCATCAAAAAAAGGTGTCAGAACCCTGTTCTGAGCGTTCTGTGAGGGAAAAAAAAGCCCTGCAGATTAGTCTTCAAATATCGAAAAGGAAGACATGAAGGAGGACACTTTTTGAGGGAGGACAGAACTTACAAAAGGAGGACTGTCCTCCCTAAAGGAAGATGGTTGGTCACCTTACAAATAAGCTATTCAAGTCAATTCAATTCATATTCCCACAATGCATCTTGATTTATGGGTCGGCCAGCTGGTTTTGATAGTCCTGCCCTTGGTCCCCGTGTCACCGAGCAACGAAACAAATTTAAAAATAAAACAACAGTATTAGGAGAATAGAATAGAATAGAATAGAATAGAATAGAATAGAATAGAATAGAATAGAATAGAATAGAATAGAATAGAATAGAAAGAATAGAAAATAGAATAAATAGAAAATAGAATAAGAAATAGAAAATAGAATAAGAAATAGAAAATAGAATACAAATAGAATACGAAATAGAATAGAATAGAAAATAGAATAAGAAATAGAAAATAGAATACAAAATAGAATAGAATAGAATAGAAAATAAAATAGAAAATAGAATAAGAAATAGAAAATAGAATACGAAATAGAATAGAATAGAAAATAGAATAGAAAATAGAATAAGAAATAGAAAATAGAACACGAAATAAAATAGAATAGAATAGAAAATAGAATACGAAATAGAATAGAATAGAATAGAATAGAATAGAATAGAATAGAAAATAGTAGAAAATAGAATAAGAAATAGAAAATAGAATATGAAATAGAAAATAGAATATGAAATAGAATAGAATAGAAAATAGAATAAGAAATAGAAAATAGAATACGAAATAGAATAGAAAATAGAATAAGAAATAGAATAAGAAATAGAAAATAGAATAAGAAATAGAAAATAGAATAAGAAATAGAATAAGAAATAGAAAATAGAATACGAAATAGAATAGAATAGAATAGAATAGAATAGAATAGAATAGAATAGAATAGAATAGAATAGAATAACAGAATAGGAAGGGACCTTGGAGGTCTTCTAATCCAACTCCTGGTCAAGAGGAGACTTTATACCATTCCAGACAAATGGTTGTCCAATCTCTTAAAGCCTCCAGTGATGGAGCCCTCACACCTTCTGGTGGCAAGCTGTTCCACTGGTTAATTGTTCTCACACTCAGGAAGTTTCTCCTTAGTTCCAGTTGCTGCTCCCCTTGATGAGTTTCCATCCATTGCTTCTTGTCCTGCCTTCAGGCGCTTTGGGGAATAGCTTGACTCCCTCTAAATTTAAATAAACTTAAATCTATAGGTAGTTCTCTGTTTACGACCATTCACTTAGAGACTGTTCGAAGTTACGATTTCCATGGGAAAGGGGACTTACAGCCTGGATCTGAAGTTTTGACAGTCGTGCTGCTACTTGCAGTCATAATGTTTTATGACGGTTTTGCCCCCCCAAAATGGCAGTTCGGATGTTTGGCAAAACCGTCCCCAATAGCAAGCAATGGTTTTGCACTTATGACCGTCTCACTTGCTTAACGACTGCTGCAAAAAAAAAAAGGTATAAAATCCGGCCGGCCATGCACGGACTTGTTTTATGACATAGGATGTACAATCTTAATGGCAGGCTCCATCGCTGTCATAACTTGAGGACTACGTGCATGGTATGAATAAAATAGAATGTAAGTTAGCATCCTAACAGCCCGTTGAGCTTTGTAAACTGTCTAAACCCCAGGCCTGACCGTGATTTATTCTCAAATTTGCAAAACATCATGATTAAAATATCTTCTGGGTCTCAATTAATTATTGTCCAGAGCTACTGTGGCAAACGGCACCATGTAAAATTTAACCTCACTTTTCAAAATGAAAATCAATGAAACTTTAAGCTGCCTTTGTCGTCCGCGTGACAAAATGGACTTTGCCAAGGTTTTGTTTTTCACCAAACGCTCCTTGGAGGCTGGAAGGTGTGTTTTATTTATAATGTCTTTGACAATTAATCAAATCCAACCTTAAAATACGAACTGACATGAAAGGAAAAAGGGAAGGGACAGAACAAAACAAAGAAAAAAGGGACCAGAAAAGAATACATCAAAAAAGCATAACAGAAATCACATAACAATAACAAAGTTGGAAGGGACCTTGGAGGTCATCTAGTCTAACACCCCCCTGCTCAGGCAGGAAACCCTATACCATTTCGGACAAATGGCTGTCCAGTCTCTTCTTAAAACCTCTGACATTTTTCTTTACTGCACAGATAATAACAATGTAGCAGGGGGTTGGACTAGAAGACCTTTAAGTTCCCTTTCAATTCTATTATTGTATGTTCTTTCTAAGTTTGAATAAACAAGCCTAATTTTTAAATATCTTAAACTGCTAATATTCAACATCCTAAAAAAGCAATATCTACCATATAATTTTAATTTAGCACAGAATAAAGTGTCAGAGGCAAATCACCTTATATTTAAGAATAGATTTTGAAGCTTCTTCTTTGATAATTTGATGAAATTTCTAGCCACTGTTTGATTTCTTACAAGATAAGGAAAAAAAATAAATTTTTGACTTCGGGAGTTGAGGATTAGATTGGATTTGACCCAAAAAAATCTTTCATACCATCTGTTGAAACGGATCAAACCCCAGGGGTCTTCAAACTGCACGCTGGCTGAGGAATTCTGGGAGTTGAAGTCCGCAAGTCATGAAGGGGCCATAGTTTCCCCATGCTGGCTGAGGAATTCTGGGAGTTGAAGTTCACAAGTCATAAAAGGGCCAAGTTTGAAGACCCCTGCTTGTGAACTTCAACTCCCAGAATTCCTCAGCCAGGCACATAGTCTGAGGAATTCTGGGAGTTGAAGTCCACAAGTCATGAAGGGGGCGATAGTTCCCCCATACTGGCTGAGGAATTCTGGGAGTTGAAGTCCACAAGTCATAAATGCCTGGCTGAGGAATTCTGGCAGCTGAAGTCGGCAAGTCTTAAAGCTGACAAGGTTGCAGACCCCTGCCCTAATGGCTCCATTCATTTGTGGCTTAATCAGTCTGTGGCCAGTTAAACTTGGTTAGTTTTTAGTCTCTGTGTGTTTTGGAAAGTCGAGTTTTGGGTCAGTTCATTAGTTAGCTGAAAGTTCAATTTGTTGAATTCAGGGCAACACAAAAACCAAGAGAAAACATTGTTAACATTCATTAATCAAGTTAGCATTCATTAACCAAGGTCAGCAGTTCGCACCAGAAGAGCCAGCTGTTTCTGAACTACAAGAAACAATGCTTTATAAGAGGCCAGCCCCAGCACAGGGGGTCCTCGACTTACGACCACAACAGATCCCAAAATTTCCACTCCTAAGCAAGACAGTTGTGAAGCCTGCTTTGCCCCACTTTTACGACCTTTCTCATCGCAGTCGTTCAATGAATCCCCTGCAGTCATTAAGTGAGTAAGATGGTTGTTAAGTGAATCACTGCAGTGGTTAAGTACGGAACACGGTCATAAAGCGAATCTGGCTTCCCCATTGACTTTGTTGTTCAAAAGGTGGCAGAAGGGGATCGCGGGACACCGCAACCGTCGTAAATACATGCCACGGTCGTAAGTATGAAACACAGTCCCAAGTCCCTCTTTTTCAGTGCCGTTGTAACTTCAAACGGTCATTAAACATGAATTCGGTGAAATAAGTTGCCTGGCTGGTCAACCAGCCCTGAAAAATGGATGGTTTTATTCCTCTTTAAGGACGAGGTGGAGAGCGAGACATTCCAGATGGAGTGCATGAAGGACGGTGTGTGGAGCAGCCGGGTGCCGCTTTGCAAAAGTAAGAGGATGGTTTGGGGGGGGGGGTCCTCAACAACTGGGGGAGGGTCCGACGGGGCCTGAGGGCCACTTGACAAGCCCACCCAGGTGGTCTAGGACGATTGGTGCAAAAGGGCGTTGAGCAAATCTCCTTCAGCTGGGAATAATGATAATGATCATAGAGTTGGGAGGGACCTTGGAGGTCTTCTAGTCCAGCCCCCTGCTCAGTCAGGAAAGCCTATACCAAATAATAATAATATTAATAATAATAACAACAACAGCAGCAGCAGCAGAAGAGGTGGAAGGGACTTTGGAGGTCTGGCTGAGGAATTCTGGGAGTTGAAGTCCACGAGTCATGAAGGAGGCCACAGTTCCGCCATGTTGGCTGAGGAATTCTGGGAGTTGAAGTCCGCGAGTCATGAAGGGGCCACAGTTCCCCCAGGCTGGCTCAGGCATTCTGGGAGTTGAAGTCCACAAGTCATGAAGGGGCCATAGTTCCCCCATGCTGACTGAGGAATTCTGGGAGTTGAAATCCACGAGTAATGAAGGGGCCATAGTTCCCCCATGCTGACTGAGGAATTCTGGGAGTTGAAATCCACGAGTCATGAAGGGGCCATAGTTCCCCCATGCTGACTGAGGAATTCTGGGAGTTGAAATCCACGAGTCATGAAGGGGCCATAGTTCCCCATGCTGGCTCAGGAATTCTGGGAGTTGAAGTCCACAAGTCATGAAGGGGCCATAGTTCCCCCATGCTGACTGAGGAATTCTGGGAGTTGAAATCCACGACTCATGAAGGGGCCATAGTTCCTCCATGCTGGCTGAGGAATTCTGGGAGTTGAAGTCCGCAAGTCATGAAGGGGCCATAGTTCCGCCATATTGGCTGAGGAATTCTGGGAGTTGAAGTCCGCAAGTCATGAAGGGGCCACAGTTCCGCCATATTGGCTGAGGAATTCTGGGAGTTGAAGTCCGCAAGTCAGAAAAAGGCCAAGTTTGAAGGCCGCTGCTCCAAGCCAACACAGGTGCACCTGCAAAGTCCCACGAGAGATGCAGCAAGTAATGCGGAGATGGAAAATCTGAGATTTGGGGTGTTTTTCTTCTGGTAATTTTGGGCTGAATCCCTTGCAGCAACCTTCCAAGTTCTGCCTTCCTTTCACGCTGACACTTAACCCGGGAATCCTCCTGGCTGGGGCAGCTGGTGGCGGTTTGCATGATGCATGTTCTGACTGGCTCTCCTCTTTCTCTCCTGCTACCCTTCCTCCCTTCCTTCCTCCTTCTCTCCCTCCTTCCTCCCTCTCTGCCTCCTTCTCTCTCTCTCTCTCTCTCTCTCTCTCCTTCCCTCTCTTCTTTCTTTCTTTCCTCCCTTCCTCCCTCCTTCCCTCCTTCCCTTCCTCTTTCTTTTCTTTCTTCCCTTCTCTCTTTCCCTTCCTCCTTCCTCCCTCTCTCCCCCTTCCTTTATCCCAACCTTCTTTCCTCCCTTTCTTTCTCCTTCCCTCCCGCCTTTTCTTTATCCCTTCCTTTCTTCTTTCCTCCCCTCCCTCCCTTTATCCCATCCTTCCTTTCTTTCTTCCTCTCTCCTTCTCTCCCTCCCTCCCTTTATCTCATCCTTCCCTCCCTCCCTCCCTTCCTCATTCCCCCTTCTCTCCTTCTCTCCCTTTATCCCATCCTTCTTTCCTTCCCTCCCTCCCTCCCTTTATCCCATCCTTCCTTCCTTCCCTTTCTCTCTTCTTCCCTCCCTCCCTTTCTTTATCCTTCCCTTCCTTCCTCTCTCCTTCTCTCCCTCCCTCCCTTTATCCCATCCTTCCTTCCCTCCCTCCCTTCCTCCCTCCCCCTCCCTCTCTCCCTTTATCCCATCCTTCCTTCCTCCCTCCCTTTATCCCAACCTTCTTTCCTTCCTTTCTCTCTCCTTCCCTCCCTCCCTCCCTTTCTTTATCCCTTCCTTCCTTCCCTCCCTCCCTCCCTTTATCCCATCCTTCCTTCCTTGCATCTATCTTTCCCCTTTTGCCTTTCAAACAGTGGCCGAAACCCAGCCCACCGAGAACCGGATCTCGATAAACGAGGACTCGGATCCCGCAGCAGCCTAACCCAGATCCCAGCACAGGAGCCTATGAAGGAAGACGTGGTCCACGTCCCCCCAGCCTCCCTGTGGGGGGAAAACATATTATATTTGCAACAGGGGGGAGCGGGGTCATATGCCCCCTTCTCTCACGATTTCCATAGCAGCCCATATTCCCAGCTGCTGTATTGAGAAGAGGGCTACTTAAACCCCTCCCTCCCCACCTTCCAAGCTCATAACTCCAGGATTCATAAGAGAAAAATCAGCTTCATGGCCTGGACGTAGCATGCAACAAAATCCTTCTTCTCCTTGCGAGGAATTCCCTCCTCGGATGCTGGCCAGGGGTGCATTTCCTATTTTCTTCTCCGTCGCCTCCTTTGCTACACTCCCTCCTTCTAACGCTGGAATGAAAACGGGCTTTGCAAGAACGGGACTAACCGTCTCGGTGATGGCGATGGCTAAACCCCCCTTTTTTTGCCTCTCCCGACTCAGATCGTATTAATCTTTCTCTCCTTCTTGCCCTGCTGATGGGAGACGTCTACTGGGGGGGGGGCCTTTTCTGAATCACGACTTCAGGACACTGAGGAATCTAGAAGCCTGGGAAAAAACAACGGCCCTGCAGAGTGGGAAGCGGGGGGCCCGGATTCGCGCGGAAAAAATAGATTTCTGACTTTTTTTTTTAAATTTACTTATTTATTTCTCGGGCGGCTTCCAAACCTGCAAATCCTAGCATCCCATTCAGAGCATCGGGGAGGGATAAAAATTAACAAACAAACAAAAAAAAAAGGCAAAATGGAGGCTGCCGCCATCTGGATAGGGAGACGGGGCAGCATATGAATTGAATATAAATAAATAAATAACATTTTAAACATACGCAACACGCACACACACACACCTGCACAGAGGCCCCTAGGCAGCTGCGCACGCTGGGGGGAGATTCAAACTCTCCAAAACGGTGGGCATGGGGGTCAGGAGCCCACCCCCACCCCTCTCTCTCCACCCTTCCGGACATCTGTTCCAATTTGGTCAGTGTGGAGCTCAAAGGATGATTTGGGTGCATACGTGGCCTTGCTCCGTCTTGCTCAGGGTCTCCGTCAGGACCACCCCCCTCCCAAAAAAACACGCTGATGTAGATGCATCGAGTAAAATGCAGGAGTAAAATGAACAACATAGGGTCTGCGTCAGTATCTCTTGACTGGGGCAACTTGAAGAGATGTGGAGTTCAGCTCCCAGGAGAGAAAACTTAAAAAAATAAGGGAAGGGAAGGGAAGGAGAGGAAAGGAAAGGAGGGAAGGGAGAGGAAAGGAAAGGAAAGAGGAATGGAAGAGGTAAAGGAGAAGGGGAATGGAAGAGGAAGGAAAGGAAATGGAGAAGGAGAATGGAAGAGGAAAGGAAAGAGGAAGAAGGAAAGGGAGGGAGGGGAGAGGAAAGGAAAAAAGGGATGGGAAGGGGAAGGGAGGGGAGGGGAGAGGAAAGGAAAGGAAAGAAAAACAGAAGGAAGGGAAGGGAGAGGAAAGGAAAACAAGGAAAGGAAAGGAATGAGAAGGGAGGGAAGGGGAAGGAAGGAAGGGGAGGAGAGAGTAAAGGAAGGGAGAGCAGGGGGAAGAAAGGAAAGGTAGGAAGGAATTGGACGAGGAGGAGGGGGAAAAGGGAGGGAGGAGGAGGAGGTGAAAAAGGGAGTGAAGGAGGAAGGATCGAAGGAAGAAGAGGATGGGGAAAAAGAGATGGAAGGAGGAAGGAAAGAAAGAAGGGAGGGGGAGGAGGAAGGAAAGAAAACAAACCAGCTAACCAATCAGTTCTGCTGGCTGGGGAATTCTGGGAATTGGAAGTTCCACCCATCTTCAAGTCAACAAGCTTGAGAAATCCAGGGTTTAGTATGTGGTGTGAACACATCAGTAAAAAACAGAATAGAATAGAATAGAATAGAATAGAATAGAATAGAATAGAATAGGGAATATCTAGGGAATATCATCAGGGCTAGAAGGATTTGTGGAGAGGAGGAGGAGGAGGAGCAGGAAGGACTGAGTGTCCTTGATGCGCTCTGAGCTTGATTGTTTTCTTGCAGACATTTCATGGTCCAACTAGGTAACGTTATCAGTGCTAGAAGGTTGAATGCTAACCCCTTTCTCTTCTCCTCCTCTTTTCTCCTCCTCCCTCCTCCTCCCCCCTTCCTCCTCCTCCTCTTCCTCTCCTCCTCCTCTTCAAACCCCAATCCTTGTAGCACTGATGACGTTACCTAGTTTGGTTTATGAAACGTCTGCAAGAAAACAGCCAAGCTGAGAGAGCACCAAGGACCTCACAATCCTCCTCCTCCACCGCCGCCACCTCCTTCTCCTCCTCCTCCTCCTCCCACATCACTCTCTTCTAGCACTGATGATGTTACCTAGTTGGGTCATGAAATGTCTGCAAGAAAACCGCCAAGCTCAGAGAGCACCAAGAACCCCACGGTCCTTTTCCTCCCCTTTTCCCTCTCCATTCTGCAAACCCCACTCCCTTCCGTCACTGATGATGTTACATAGTTGGGCGACGAAATGTCTGCAAGATAACAACCCAGCTCAGAGAGCACCAGGGACTCTCCATTTCAATCCTGTGCTACTCATATTCTTTATTAGTAAGTGGTTTCAAAGGGCCATCTGGCTCGTGGGCTATGAGAAGCCCCAGTTGGATCAGAAAACTGTAGTAGCTTTCTCCTACTACACATGTGTGGGGTGCATCATAACCCATCTGTCTTCTTTGGCAGTGTGATTCATGCAAAACAGTGTGGAGGGGCCACCCGCTAATGTTTTGATTGTGGAGATCATCCCTGAACAATCTCATCCATCCAGAAATGGGAGCCGTGTCAGTTCTCCCGGGAGGATCTCCTGCTACTCACTGTTGTAGATGGTTGGTGGGGGCTGCTGGGGGCCTGAGACACTTGGGTGTCGTGTTCATCCACAAACAGGTTCAGGAGATGTGTGGAAAAGCTGGAG